GTGAATTTATTGGCCAAACAGCAATATTGTCAATATTGTCGAGATAAAAGAGTACTCTGCTAAATTGCTTTTGTACTCACAATTTATAGTTTAACAGAATACAAGGAGCGTTGACCATCTCTCAGGCATCAAGAAGGTGTATGTGTCTTATTTACAATTTTAGATTTAGGAATAATTATCAGTACACGATTTATGTGCCATAATTATCTGGACACTAGAAATTCTTAATGAAGGTGAGATTTTTAAAACAGGAAAAGTGACCATTGTTTTGGACAAAAAACTGGAGCAGCATTGCCTTGGGCAAAGTACTCAATAAACAGGTGCAAACAAGGGACAAGAATGATAACACGTATTCCACACTTCCACCATACCCTAAGCCAAGGGTAGCAAACGTCCGGCCCTCCAGCTGTGGTGGAACTACAAATCCCATGAGGCATTGCAAGATTCTTACAGCCACAGACATGACTCCCAAAGAGATATGCATCATGGGATTTGTAGTTTCACCACAGCTGGAGGGTTTGGAGGTTTGCTACCCCTGCCCTAAGCCCTTCTCACTCAAAGCCTATTCCCAAACACACCTTACTGAAATGCAGAAAGGTTTGCTCTTTCATTGGAATAGTTCACAAATTCATGCAGGTAAAGAAAGGTGAATCTTAAGGCAAAGTTAATGCAGGCATAGGATGATAAAATCCAAAACAAGATGGAGTTAAGTAAAGAGCAATCTTTACTTGGCAGTACTGTTGTTGTAGGTAGGTGTGAAAAATGATGTAAAGTAAGAATGCTTTCAGAAATAAAGTGTTAATAGTTTATTTTTATGAATTAACAAAATGGAAAGTAAATGAACAGAAGAGAAATCCAAATCAAATCAATATTTTCTGTGCTTTCAAAACAGGATACATTTTTCTAGGTTCGCTTGCACAAAGTTTTTGAAGGAACTCAGCAGGTAGGTTGTTCCAAACATCTTGGAGAACTTCTGTGGCTGTAGGCTGCCTCAAATCCTTCTGTGATTTCATGTAATCCCAGACAGACTCGATGATGTGGAGATCATGGTTATGTGGGGGCTAAACCATTACTTCTAGGACTCCTTGTTCTTCTTAACGCTGAAGATAGTTCTTAATGAAATTGGCTGTATGTTTGGGGTCATTGTCGTTCTGTAGAATGAATTTGGGGCCAATCACATGCCTCCTTGATGGTATGGCATGATGGATAAGTATTTGCTTGTATTTCTCAGCATTGAGGACACCATTAATCATGACCAAATCTGACCTCCATTGGTAGAAATGTAGCCCCAGACTTGCAAGAAACCTCCGCCATGCTTCACTGTTGCTGCAGACACTCATTATTGTACCGATCTCCAGCCCGTCGGCGAACAAACTGCCTCCTGTTAAAGCCAAATATTTTTCATTTTAACTCATCAGTCCAGAGCACGTGCTGCCATTTTTCAGCACCCCAGTTCCTATGTTTTCATGCATGGTTGTAGCCGTACCAGCCTGAAGTGAATAGCCGAACAGTGTTAGGCTCACTTCACTTCTGATCGGTCATTCACTCGGCTGCCCTCGGCAGCTTTGTGAATAGACCCCTTAGTCTTGTTTCCACCTCAGAGCTATGGCTTTTTTGCCACAAGGCGGAAAAATGTGACATGCTATAGTGTGCAATGATCATGACCAAAATGTAGGTGTAATTAAACAAGACAGACCTAAGCTTACAAGATTTAACCACACTACAGAACAAAAGAGCAAATCACCAGCACTCAATAATAAAGATAAATATGTCCTTTTTATTGGACAAGACGTCACAGTGATCCAAAAAGCGGACGTTTCGGGGCCGTGCAGGGTCCCTACGAGCACCACTTTGCTTATTGGCCGGGACTGCTGTGAGGTGTGCGGAGCGCTCCTCCATCAATCTTAACCACACTACACACATTCCATCGACTTTTTACTCACACATTATAAGGTTTGATTTAAATACACATGAAAGAATGATTGAAGTCACCATAACTTCACCTCATTCAAAGGGTAAGTGAAAATTAACTTTGCACAGTGAAAATTCACATAGCTAAGTGATACCCGCCAATGCAGCAGTGCCGTCCGTCCGTTTTTTTACAACGGGCGGACGGCAAGTGGTTAAGCTATGCTGACTTGAATCATTTGATCATGCGTGATGAAAGATTCTGTTTTTTTAATGTTTCTTGCACATGGTTGAGTATCCTTTCAAGTTGAACTCCACTTAGCTCCATTTCATTCATTAAGGTAATGATATTAACTTATGAATGACTTATGAGTTACTTAAAGTGACGCTAAACGCAGGAGTTAAACCTTAGAAATGCATTCAAGTACCCTAACTATTAACAAAAATGTAGCTTATTTGTGTATCACTCGGCTGTAGATCCTCCAATCATCTCTTAATTCATGCTGACAGTGTCCTTCCTTCTGGAGCGTGGCTACTTTTATTCCCCATGGTCCGGTGTGTGTTGTAAAGTAGCCACTGCTCCAAGCTCACTGTACTTTGTACTTTGTGTGCAATCACATAAAATGTACTTTGTTTACCTTACATTACACTTTACTCTTATTTACCTATAAATTATTAAGGCCGCTGCACTTTCTTGGGCACTAAAATGCAAATATTGGATTAATATATGGTGAAGAGTCAGAGCTCCAAAACTATAGATGAAGATTCCAGACCCGACCTGAAAATTAGCTTTCTATACCTTTAGACAATCAGCTACATTGAGGAAGCTGAAAAGTGTGAGACGATTTTAAGAAGAGGTTTCAAAAGTGTGGAGTTGGATTTATTACAGGAGTAGAGACTTGCAACATAGCAAAATGAGTGTTTACTCAGCTTAGTGAAAAGGTGAAGCTGGGTTCACATTGAATACGCAATTACAAGCAGAGAATTTTAAAACCTAGAATCTTGCTTGCATATGACTCAATGATTGAAGTGAACATGTTTTACTTTGTGTACTAAGCTCAATGAACATTCATTTTTAAAAAGGAAACATGCAATACTCCTTCAGTAAATTAGCCATACTGATGCATGGGCCTGAACAAATCTTCCCAAGATCTAGGAGTCTTGCCACAGATTAAACTTTTTATTTAGCAGTGTTAATATTTTTATTATTATTATTATATAGTATTTATATAGCTCTAACAGTTTGTGTAGCATTTTACAATATAAGGAAAACATTACAGTTACATTACAGGCCCTGCCCATGAGAGCTTACAATCTAAGAGTGAGGGTCAAGAGATACAAGAGGTGGAAGCTGTGTAGGGGATGAATTGTTTCAGAAAGTGATAGTGCAGTGGTTAGGCTAAGGTGGGATAGGCTTCCCTGAAGAGATGAGTCTTTAGAGATTGCCTAAAGGTGGTCAGAGTAGGAGATAGAGAGACAGGTTGGGATAAGGAGTTCTAAAGGATGGGAGAGACTCTAGAGAAGTCATGGAGGCAAGCATGGGACGAGTCGATAAAGTTTTTAATATATACGAGGGAGGGATAGTTGTGTTATTAATCTCAATTAAAAAGTTGGGGTAGGGTGCATGGGAGAAAGGAAATATCATGAGATAAGTTTTGGAAATATTTAGTTTTAAGAAGTGTTGTGACATCCAGACTGATATGTCAGTTAGTAAATTAGTGTAATACTGAAGGGGTGAGTTGTGGAGAGGAGATATATTTTTGAGTGTCATCGGTGTAGAAATGGTATTGGAAGACATGTGAGGTATTCAACTGACCAAGGAAGGAGGTGTAGATGGAGAAGAGATGGGGTTCAAGAACAGAGCCTGGGTGTGTTAAAGTTTGGATTCAGGTGGAACATACATTTGACCCCTAATGTCAGGATATTTGTGTTTGAGTCAAATTTTTTTTTGTGGTGGTTGAATTTCATACCAACCCATTATTTCCTGCACATAGTGATTTAAAGCCTTAAAAATCCTAATCATTCTTTGCGCTGGCCTTATCATATAGATATAGAATGCCAAATACTACCTGTCGCTTTAATATGCATGATCATGCATGATATTTAGGAAAAACTACAAAAGTAAATAACCCCCAAAAGTTGCAACTTTAACCCTGTTTTTTTTTACTTGCCCAAATGTTCTTTTGCAGGTCATTTCCTTAAGCAGGTAGGAAAAAATAGGGACTGGGACATGTTACATTCAGGGATCAGATCCTGCCTTGGGGAGGATAACTGCTATTTAGGGGTCCCTGCAATGCAGCAAACAGCTTAGGCTATAGTTCTGCAAAGCAGTTATGCCAAGCCAGTGGACAACCATTGTTTACACAGATAATGTGTTACAGGCTCAAGACCCAGTGCATACACTAAGAGATCTGGGTGAATATTCCCCCAGTTTCTGGGCCCAGTAATATCACTTTTTCTATATATTTTTCTTATTTTTTTTAAAAAAGGGGCAAGGGCTGTGCCACAGAAAAGTTATTCTTGTGCACATTGAATTATAGTTTGTTGTCTGCTGTAAATATCAATGTTCCATTTTACTTTCTACCTATTTGCTTTTCTGGCAATCTATTATCAGAGAACACTGTTTGGAATGGTTAAAATAGGTCCAAACCCACTCATATATGATGTTATCATGTTACTTTAACTTTTAAAAGTTGTTTTCATGAAGGTCCATGTTTAAGCATTTGCTGTTACAAGTGGATTATGCCAACACACATTTTATAAGCATGTTCAACCATGTCAGTAGACATTTTTATTATAATTGTGTCTGCTACTGAAAGTATGCTAATGTGTTTGTTTTATTTCTTATAGATGATGAGCAAATAACATCGCAAATCAAAACTACATATGTGGAATAATAATGATAGAAGTGCCTTCAATTACTGCATGTTGAATATACAGCAAATCCATGATGGCATTACATAGGAATATTTCATTTTATTCCAATAAGACATTTATTTTGCTTTTAATTTACTTCATCGTTTCTTGTGGCTTACTTATTGTATATCTAGTTCACTGGCAAGTTAATTCAAACTATTTAATAAAAACATTAGATAAGAAAGATATTCTTTCAGCCAATACGGAAATTGCTAATACTGCTCAATCTTCATTCGAATGGATTAGAAATATTCGTCTGAACATTCCTACTTCCTTGTCACCACCTGCTGAAGGATATATAAACATCAATTACTATCCGTATATTATTAATGAAGCAAATAAATGCAAGAACTCCAGTCCTTTCTTAGTCCTGATAATTGCAACAGTTGCAGCAGAAGTTGAAAATCGGGAAGCGATAAGACACTCATGGGGAAATGAGTCTCTCAGGAGTGGCATTCCTATTGTGCGTTTATTTATGTTGGGCACAGACAACACAATTGACCAGAATGCAATTTTACAGGAAAGTGAGAAACACCATGATATCATCCAGAAAAACTTCCATGATACATATAGAAATTTGACCATTAAAACCATGATGGGCATAGACTGGGTATCTGTCTACTGTTCAGGAGCAAAATACGTAATGAAGACAGACAGTGATATGTTTGTCAACACAGAACATCTGCTGGACTTCTTAGTACCAAATTTGCCTGCCAAGCAAAACTATGTTACTGGTTTTTTGCTTCAGAATCACCAGCCACACAGAAATGAGAACAGTAAATGGCATATGCCACGTTCCCTCTACCCAGACAATGTCTACCCTGACTTTTGCTCAGGAACTGGCTACGTGTTTTCTGGGGATGTTGCACCAAAAATTTTAAGGGCTTCTTTTCTTGTGAAATACGTTTATCTTGAAGATGTATTTGTAGGAATCTGTCTTGACAAGGAAAACATACGAATAACACCGCCTCTTGATGGTTTTCTGTTTAATAATTATAAAGTTCAATTTAGTCCATGTGCTTATAATAGTCTTATCACCTCTCATGAAATAGGTCCTACTGAACTTATTGCTTTCTGGAAACTTGTGCAGGAACACAAAGTGGCTTGTAAAAACAATGGATGAATTGTTCAGATAATAATGGCCTTCATTTAACAACAAATGTACAATTTAAGTCAATAATGTGATAATAATTATGCTGGGTGCCGTATCAGTGCTGCATAAAAATGATAAGTAAAATGTTCAAATGTATTAAAACTAGCTTGAATTTGAATTAAATTAGATTTGAATAAACTGCATAGAATAAAACTATATAGTATACTGTAGCTGTCATCATTATTGTAATGTGTCTGTAAAGGTTCTCATTTATCCAGGTCATGGTATAACTACTAGTAGTCAGATTCAACTGAACTTTTTCTGTAATGATAATGAAGAGGTTTCATAGCATAGATAAGTTAGTCTTCTGCATTACAGAAAAAGTCCAGTTGAATGTGACTAACTACTACTAGCAACACTATTTCAATGCCACACACAGACAGATATTTATAGCATTTTTTTAGAAAAACAACCTAAATTCTTCCAAAGGGCTACATGATGTGGCATTGTTCTATTGTTATAACTCAGAGCTCCATGTCATAGGGACAATAAAAGTAATTTTTGTTCTGAATTTACATTGATCTCCCTAACCGCTATTTTAAGATAGACATTTGTCTTTCAGCTGTAGTCCTAGTTTCTCATGCAGCTCACCTGACCACACAATAACACATATGGGTAATATTTAATATATGTGATGGAACCTGATTTGTTTAGAATGGGAAAGAAGGAAATTGAAGAAATGTGGAGGGTAGGAATATTATATTAAAGATATGTGCTGAAGGTTACAAGGGGGAACCTAACAGCAGGGCAACTGAGTTTACCTACCTATCTGTACTTGGTCAATATGTATGTCAAAGAAAGGCAATATCTTGAATTAGCCAAACCAATGCATGGAAAAAAATTATTCTGCTTTGCGACACCAGAAATATCCATTTCAAATGTCATCTTTTGTTGTCCACTGTAGAAAAAGCGATATAGAAATGTTTGCTCTTAATCAAAACCACTTAGTAATGAAAGTGTGGGTAATAAGATTACAGTGTTTTATACACCTGCCAGGCTGTGAAAATCATTTTTCATTTACATAGCAAACACATATTCTGCTGAATTTCTTGTAATATTAGGCCCTTTTACAGATGATTTTAATGTTCTATAAAACTAGACCTCCTACACATTTTAAAAATATATATCAATACTACTGATCATTCCCCCCTCCCCCACACACACTCTTTACTTTCATTGAGCCTGCCAAGCAAAGTAAGATTCCCATGAAACACAGGGAATTGACATAAGTATTACGCTTAGAGAAGTGAACCCTGTCTATGACAGTAACAAAATAGTAAATATGTTGACTATGTAATTGTGAAATTGACAGTTTAGGCCATTAAACATTTAAGATTTGAATTTCCATGATCTAGAAATCTATTAATTTCACATTTATGGGGTTACTTCTCTGCCTATGACACAGACAAAAACTGTTATGTACAATTTATGGGGCTATGAAGGGAGCTAACTTTTTTTTTTTAAACAATTGTAATATATTTAATACTAACACAGAATAATAATAATAATGATAATAATAATACACTTATGAATAACAAAGCTAATTCAAGCAAACATGAGGCACATTATCATTTACATCCAAATGCATATAAATTCATGCAATTTCACTTGATTGCTCATGCTATAAAGTTGAGAACTGATCTACACATCTGTATGGCCTTCATTACATACATTATGAAATATTTTTCCATGTTGTCATCCCCTTAGACACCTTAAAAAATAACCAAGGTGATACATCAGAAAACACTGTCACAATGCCCATTTGTTCAAACAAATTATATCAACAGAGTATACAGACAGCATTATGTCATGCATATTACCTGTTCTATTGAATAAAATATAAGAAATGGCTTTGGTATCATCTATGAAACATTTTTAGAATACAGATGAAAACTGTAAACACACACACACTTACACATACAAACACACACATTAGAGGTGTAGAAGCCCTGAGCACATTTGTCATACTTGCAATATAAAGTCTGTGATAGAGATACAGACAAAAATCTTTAATGTTTTTCAGCTGTTTCTTCTGTATAATGTAATGTTGCCCTCTAGTGTTTCATAAGTCTGAAATCAAAAAGTGCCCAAATCATTATTTCTGTTTATAGCAGGTTGTACAATGCTATAATGTAATGACTTCATCTAATATTATGATTTAATTACTTATTGTTATTAATAATTACATGTTGTGACGTAATATAATTCCATACCCAATATAACTTACATGTTTCAGAAACATAAAATAAGAAATAACTTTTGGTCAAGCTTTGTGTACAAAAAAGGGCAGGAAGCTTTTTGCTTTAAAGGTAGCAGAACTGAGTTTATCTTATGCTGAGAGCTTATACTGTATAAATTATGGTGAAAAGGTAGTTTCCACTTTATGTTTTGCACTGTGAGACATATAAAAGAGTTTCAAGATCACAATTTTTTTCAGTGGCAACTAGGCCTGTGGTTTTTGAAAAGTGAGAATGTCTTATACGTAGGAAATCTTAGCAAAGCTGGTACTGTAATGTAACAAAAGCACATATATCAAGCTTGAACTTTGGTTTGCAAGTTTTGAGACTGAATAGTAATAAGCACATCCACTGTAGGTTAACACACAGATTTGTCTTTTATAATGAAAAACATTCCTTATACAATAAGTAATAATAGCCAGTTAAATGTTGTACATCTTGAAATATATCCAGTCCTTTTTGAAGCAAAACGGTGTGGGGGATCCCCAATCCAGGGAAACTGAAATGATCCAGACCCCAAGTCTCTAAATTGCACATACAATATTTAGGGTATATTGACCACCCCATCAGTACTTCGTTGGGCCAAAAGATAACTCCACAAGATGACTTTGTTGCGCCGCCTCCAACAATGATCAGAAAACTGAAACATTGTTTCAGGAATAGATACATTGTTTCAGGAATAGATACATTATGTATCTATTGCTGAAAGTTTTTTAAAAAAAAGCTGCTATACGATCAAGCTTTACCGATCTATACCAGCTGTCAGAGTGGCGGCAAGAGCTGCAAATGCGGCTCTGCTTTCACTCTCAGACACCCGAATCCTGAAAACAATCTGGTGTCTGATAAAGGTTAACTCTTTCATTTATGGATGCCTCTATACCGAGGCATCCAATAATTAATGGTAACCGCTGATTCTCAGTGGTTACCAGCCTTCTAGTGCAGCAAATAACCTGTCCCGTACAGTGTACGTCTCCCGTCACGGAGGAGTTAAAGTAGTATTAAGGTCTGGGCATTTTGTTACCTTAATGCATTCTCTGCATTAGGGTAAAGACAGCTTTTGTAGTGTTCTCTGTGTATGGTTTTAAAAGAAAATATTTGAATGTACATGGAATAAAAAGATATAGAATTTTTACACTTGTCCATTGCATGGAAGACAGGTCCACTTTAAGTTATCTTTAAGGCACCTCGTCAAACATTTCAGCAAAGTAGACATGCGCATTTGCAAAAAAATTGTTTTGTTTCAGATGTTTCCTTATTTAGTTTTTTGGGATTCAGGTCTGAAAGTCCGTTTGAATTGGCATTCGGATTCAGACAAATCCAAAATGTTAAACTTGAAATAACCAATAGCAGGCTGGCTATTGCACCCACCCACTGCCTGATATCAATCACAGAGGAGAAGACCTGAGAAAGAACTCCTCTGTGGGAGCAATAACCATCAAAGGGAAATAGCCAATAGCAGGCTGGCTATTGCTCTGCCCACTGCACATTGTCAATCAGTAGAGGAGCAGACCTGAGAGATAACTTTCAAATTTCATTCCAGAGCACATGTGGCCATTTTTTTGCAGCCTTGCGACCAAAAAGACATACCTCCAATGTGGAAACAAGGCTAAGCAACTCAACTTTGCACAAAAACATAGGAACTGGGGTGCAGAAAAATGGCAGCACATGCTCTGGACTGATGAGTCCAAATTTTAAATATCTGGCTGTAGCAGGAGGCAGTTTGTTCGCTGAAGGGCTGGAGAGTGGTACAATAATGAGTGTCTGCAGCAACAGGGAAGCATGGCCGGGTTCCTTGCAAGCCTGGGGCATTTCTGCCAATGTGTTGGAGATTTGGTCAGGTTCAATGGTGTCCTCAATGCTGAGAGATACAAGCAGATGCTTATTCTTCATGCCATACCCTGTGATTGGCCCCACATGTATTCTGCAGCATGACAATGACCCCAAACATACAGCCAATGTCATTAAGAACTATCTCAGTGCAAAGAAGCACAAGAAGTCCTGGAAGTGATGGTTTGTCACCCACAGAACCCTGATCTTAAAATCATCGAGTCTGTCTGGGATTACATGAATAAACAGAAGGATTTGAGGCAGCCTACATCCACAGAAGATCTGTGGTTAATTCTGCAAGATGTTTGGAACTTAACTGCCCAGTTCCTTCAAAAACAGTGCAAGTGTACCTAGAAGAATTGATGCTGTTTTGAAGGCAAAATACGGTCACACCAAATATTCATTTGAATATGGATTTATCTTCCGTTTAGGGCTGCAGCTAACGATTATATTTAAAATCAATTAGTTAGCCGATTATTAAGTTCGATTAAGCGGATAATAAAAAAAAGGCTCCAGTGATGGACTACTAGTTTGTATTGAGATTGTAGTCCATCACGGGAGCAAGCTTGGAGCAGTAAAAAAAAAGTGTGGAGTGCAATATAGTACATTATACAGTGGCGCAATGCAGAATACCACCAGCTATGAGGGAATACTACAAATCCCAGCAATAGTACATTATAGTATAATGTACTATTGCTGGGATTTGTACTCCTCTATAGCTGCTGGTATTCTGCATTGCGCTATATAATGTATTATTGCTGGGATCTGATGTATTCCTCTATAGCTGGTGTTATTGGAGATGACGGGTATGATGGTGGAATGGAGTGCAGGAATAGAGAGGATGGGTATTATGGTGGAATGGGGTGCAGAGGACGGGTATGATGATGGAATGGAGTGCAGGGATGGAGAGAACAGGTATGATGGTGGA